TTCCTTCAGGAAATAGCTACGTGCTCCACCGTTGGGTCCTCCACAGTGGATTCCTGCTCCAGCACGGTCCTCTCCGTGGGCTGCAGGGGAATCCCTGCTCGGGTGCCTGGAACACCACCTCCCCTCCTTCTTCTCTGATCTTGGTGTCTGCAGAGCTGTTTCTCACACTTTTTTTTTTTTTCCTTCCCTCACTCCTCACACACTGCCTGGGTGGTGTTTTGCCCTTTCTTAAACATGGTTTCTCAGAGGTGCCACTGGTGTCACTCGGCCATGCCCCGTGGTGGGTCTGTGGGCGCTGTCTGGGAGCGGCTGTCCCCGGCGTGGGGCAGCCCCTGCAGCCCCCCTGCCAGCACCTGGGCACCTGCACCCAATGCAAGTAGCTATCTGCCTTTTATAAAATCTGTTTTCCTTGAAGAACACTCTCTGCTCTCAGTATTTAAAGCTAGTAATTACGCTGAGGGTAAAACTCAATTATCCAAAGGCTGACAAGTCTGATAAATCCAAGTTAGGCACTTAAAACAGGTATTTAGCTCACAAGTGATTTAACAAGACAGACAGACAGACAGATAGATAGTCCTCTGAGCCTGAATCTAGTTATCCAGTTTTAGGCAACCAAATTGGGGAACAGGATCCTTAAAGTGTCCTTGTAATTTTTAATTTCCCAGAACTAAGTGGAAGTCATCTTTAAGCACACCAAGTCAAACTATGGAAGACAAAAACTGCCTCAGGTTGAAGAATTTTCCAGTGTCAGACAGCAAAACAAAACTTATCTGAAACAATTCTAGCTCTTGAAAGATTGACATCTTTACCAATGACTTAAGCAAAATTTTAACATGCTTTCTCCCTTAGCATTTCTTTCTTTGTTACCAATTGTACTAACCTGAAAGAGATGAATAATAATTCCACACTCAAGAATATTGCTTTTCAGTGACTAAATCATTGAAACTAGAGCTAAATGAGAAAGATGCATTACCTTACTAAAAATATAACGTATTATACATTAGTGACAGCTCTCCCTACTCCAAATGCAAATAGTTCATGCGCTCTTTAATCCTCTTTCTTTTGGATTCAATAGCAAGTGATGTTTTTTGTCACTATTTTATATGTACTGTCTGGCATAAAAGACCTGTTTTATCAAAACAGCCAGTTGTTTGACAACAGATGGAATTTCAAGTAATGTATGAGAACTTCAGATCCACATAAGCATTTCCTAAATTTTAAAATCACGTTCTAATTATCTCTTTATAACATTAAAAACTTAGAACTAGAGGTATGAAGGCTGCAGTATCTAAATTTTAGGAGCTGTACCATCCAGTGGGTTTCCTACAGAAGGCATGCAGAAAATCGGGTACCCAGGAATAAGGCACTGAGAAGGAAACTACACATGCTAGCCAGTACGAATTGGCTGAAACTAACACAGGAGACTGAAAATAACTGGGTGTCTAACTGCAGGCCAAAAGGAGGTGGTACTCAGTTCACAGCCATAAACCCCCCCTTTCTATTCACCCATTTGCAGCAAACTGCACTGTGCTTAGGAGCTGCACCTCGAAAACAAGAAACTTCTCAAGTCTGCTTCAAATTAAGCAAGCCAAAACCGGTTTTCCCCCTCCCTCCGGAGCCTCCTACCAGTAGCCTGTGGGATACACTTGCACGTGCCTTCTCACGGGTCTGAATGCTCTGAGAACACACACCAGAGCGACAAGAATGCCTGTTTTCAGCACCCACTGCAGCCTGGACACCGTCAAGGCCTCTGCGCAGCTTGGTGGCCCAGGCTTCAGACTATTTTGCACATGCTCAGTAGCTAAAAAACCCCAACACACGGACACACATTTAAATATTACAAATTATACCAAATTTAGGAAGTTGCTGGCTATCGGATGAGCCACCAAAATGAACTTTGTAGCCTGCCAAACATCTGTGAAAGAAGTCTGAATTACTACAGTCTCTCTCTCAAGAGCACTGAGTTCACATTTGGGCTACTCCAGCAGTTCCCCTTCAGGGCAGTATATGTTAACTCACCCAAACTTAATTCAAAAGTGTTAACCAAACAAATATTAATACTTCTGATATGAAGTAAACATAGTTGTTTATCATGTAATGATGGTAGATCAAGCTGTTTATACCACCACTTAATATTCCCAAGGCTTATTTATTTAGATTAGAAGAACTACAGGTGGAAAATATGGCAGAATTCAAAGGACAGCTTTTCAAGATGAAATATGTATCACCGTCACAAAGTAAAAGATGACTTTACATATGATTTTATAATGGATCTTATGTATTCGTGTAGTTGGTAATACACTGCTGTTCTTGAGGCTTTCAACAACATTTTACTTATTGCTATGGAAGCAGTGATAAGCTGCATAGGATCACCTACAACATTTTAGTTCAAACACATTCCAAATCCTCACGCAGCCTCTCAGGTTCAACCCTGGCAAGACTTTGGAATTTATTTTGGGATCTGACCTCCACCTACACCATCCTTGTTACACCACTTTGTAATAGTTGTAGTTCAGCTGTATGTTACGTACCTTGTGTACGTTATGTGTGACAGTCTGCAGTTCCAATGTATCAACCAGTACAGGCAACAAATGGACTTCTAAGACTGGACACTGAATCTTTAGGCAACTATGTTATTTGAAGACATGGTGCAACTTTTTTCTTCAATAATTTGGAGGTTTGTAAATTAACCTGCAGATTTAACTTACATTTAATGCCAGTAACTATGGCACAATGTCATGGAAATCAGCTTTGTACAGAGACTACTGGATGAAGCCCAAGTGGTTGAAAAAATAGTAAGCAGGCTGCACCACCTTAACCTCATGAATCATTATGCATAACAGTTTAAATCAATAATTCTTAAATCCTGTGACTCTTTTAAAAGTACACTTTTAAAATTTTATTACTCTCTGCCACATTATATTGCATTTTCCACAGTCTGGGGGCACCAATATCTGTTGAAACGCACGTAATTTATATTCATAGCCTAGTAACCTCAGTACTAAAGATCTGTCAAACAAATACAGTACCTCTCACGGGTACTCTGGGGTGTGCATAACACTCCACATTCATATATGCATAATTTATAGTTTTAGAATGAAATGCATATGATTATCCTTGATTGATTTGACGGTTCAGTCCCTGGCACCCTGTAGTAGCAAAATAATCTTTAAAATAAATTGAAGTATTTGGACCGAGTTTCCCTTCTATATCGACAAATTATTACTAATACAGTTCCATTTCCTAAGATTTACTAAATTTTCTTGCAGGCTACTTTCTATGAATGTATTAATTTTTAGACTGGAAACTGTTCAGGAGAAACTAGCTGTGTATATTGAACATAACATCGCAAATTAAAACACAGTAAATTACAAATTACAGTTGACTGGACAACCAATTCACATCATGTTGTTTCTGTCACTAGTACGGGTTAACATGACGCAGGTATCCATGTTTCTATACAGCAAATAAGCTCTGTGCAAGGCTTCTGTAACCACTGTCTAAAATTTACCAGCTCTGCCAGTATCTCTGTCAGTGCATTCATTTGTCAAGGAAACTCTTAAAAGTGAACATAACAAGGGCATGAATACAGCTAAAACACAGCAGGTTTACATTTCTGAACAAGCACCTATAAAATCTACGTGTACATGTGTGTGCATGCACACACGTGAATGTTACCCGCTCAGATTCACTCCCTGCCCACTTTAGGTGAACTACCACAGCCACCCCATTTGCCTAGGGAAGGAAAACACAGGAGGGAATTTGTGTCACGTTCCACGCACAGTAGCAAGGCATTCTACCGAAGAGGATTTAAGAGATGCTAATGAAAAGAGAAGGCAACAGTGGGGAAGGCTGCAGGATAACGTGCTGGAGGGAAGTGACAGAGCTTGGGTGTCAAATGGGACGACAACGGCAGGGATGCACAGAGGTGTGCAGATGGCAAAGCAGAGGGATGCTGACATGGATGGATGGTGTGTAATTTTTTGAAGCTTATGTGCTCTTGCCTCAAGTCGTTCCCTACTTGTTTACCACGATTACCCTTGCTGCTCAGACATCCTGACAGTTCTGTTATCATCTGCACCTTGTATTTTTCTAATCAGATGATTTTACCATGCATACTCAAAGAAAACAACAAAAAATATCAGAGAAAAAAAGTAACTGTGCCAAGTGAAGGCAAAGTTATGCTATTTAAAAAACTATAACATCTTAAACTACAATTTTGTTAGTAGTAACAGTGAAAACTACAGATTGTAAACACAACAGTCCTCTTACTACTTGCTTTGCATGTAACAACTCTGAATCTGGAAAATAAAATATAGTAAAAAATATCCACTACTAACCAGTACCAACATTTACATTTAACATCATTTACTCAGAGATTTAAAGTAACCTTCATGCCATTTTTCCTTGTCTTCTTTTGGCTTTTTCCTCTTTGCAAGTGAGTGGACCATGCATTAGAGAAAGACTGATTACAGTCATTGTATTTTGCACGTTCTTAGGTACACTCTGGCCAGGTTTACACTGGCCAAGTTTTGCAAAAGATGTTGTATTGCTAAAAACAAGGTCAGTGTAGCGGGAGGACCAGGAATCACAGGGAAGAGATTTCCTCTCGCTGCGCATGTAGCATTTGCCAGCACGTTCTTTACACAGGGTTTGACACCTCCTGCTCGTACCAGAGGGACCGGAGAGCAGGGAAGTTAGTGCCATGCGGATCAAAGAGGCAAAGCTAAGCACGGGGCCATTCCCCTCGGCCTCGCTTCTGCAGGGATTTATGTCCCGAATACAATTTAGCCGTGGATACACGGATCTCTGTGTCGATTAGTCAAATCAATACTTTTAAAACAAAAAAAAAAAAAAAAAAAAAAAAAAAAAGAGAGAGAGCCTGTGAGTTGCGTTTCCACTTCAAGCTCCCGAGTTAAGGCTGAGAACTGCGCTCAGGCGCGGGACGCGGTCCCGCTCTCCCGGGCGTTACAGAACGGCAGCGTGACTGCCCGACTCACCCCTCCGCAGCATCCGAACTCGGGAACTCGCCTCCGGGGCCGTCATCCTCGAGCATCACCGGCGGCAGCGCTGCCTTTCCGCGGCGCGGGCTCGGCCCGGACCCCCCGGCCCGGGGGGGGAGCGGGGCCGGCTCCCAGCCGCAGCCCGCACGCCTAAGCCCGGCTCAGCGGGGAAAGCCGCTCGGGGGGGCTTTGCGGTGCTGTTAAGCTCTCGGAGAGGATCAAGACGCCAAAGCAGCCCCGGCGGCACCTTTCTTGCCACGCCGAGGACAGCCGGGAGCGCGGGGCGGGGCGGGGCGGGGCGGGGCGGGGCGGGGCGGGGCGGGGCAGGGGCGGGGCGGGGCGGGGCGGGGCGGGGCCGCCGGCCGGAGCCAGGGCCGGCAGCCCCGCCGTCCGTCCCCGCAGAAAGCGGCGCGACCCTGCGAGGCGGCTCCCCGGGGCCTGCGGGGCGGGGCTGCGCCCGGGCCGGGGCTCATCCCCCGCCTCGCTGCCGGGCGGGGCGCGGGTGGGAGTCGGCGTGCTAACCCGCCTCAGCCCCAGCCCCAGCCCAGCCCCAGCCCCAGCCCAGCCCCAGCCCCCAGCCCCAGCCCCCATCCCCAGCCCCCATCCCCAGCCCCAGCCCCAGCCCCCAGCCCCAGCCCCCAGCCCCAGCCCCCAGCCCCCAGCCCCAGCCCCCAGCCCCAGCCCCCAGCCCCCAGCCCCAGCCCCCAGCCCCCAGCCCCCAGCCCCATCCCCCATCCCCCAGCCCCATCCCCCAGCCCCCAGCCCAGCCCCAGCCCCCAGCCCCAGCCCCCAGCCCCATCCCCCAGCCCCCAGCCCATCCCCAGCCCCAGCCCCAGCCCCCAGCCCCAGCCCCCAGCCCCAGCCCCCAGCCCCCAGCCCCAGCCCCCAGCCCCAGCCCCCAGCCCCCAGCCCCAGCCCCCAGCCCCCAGCCCCCAGCCCCATCCCCCATCCCCCAGCCCCATCCCCCAGCCCCCAGCCCAGCCCCAGCCCCCAGCCCCAGCCCCCAGCCCCATCCCCCAGCCCCCAGCCCAGCCCCAGCCCAGCCCCAGCCCCCAGCCCCATCCCCCAGCCCCAGCCCCAGCCCCAGCCCCAGCCCCCAGCTCCGTCTCCCCGCCGCCCTCCCCCGCCGCCGCGCCCTCACACCCGCCGCCCCGCTGCGCCTTCGCCCGGCGGGCCTCCCGCCGCACCGCGCGGCCCCCTCAGCCCCCGCGGATTTCCCGCGCTGCCCTGAGGGGATGATGCCCCAGAGCCAGTCGCAGCACGGCGCGCGGGGACCGACACGCTCTCCTGGGCGAGGAGACAAGGCTTCTTCTTCAGTGCTTTGGCCCAGACCTCCTGGAGAGGGGCTCACCCGCAGGCTGGCTCAGGGTCATTCCTCGTTTCGCTGCGCCGCTCCCCTCACGTTCTTGCGCGGAAGCTCCCGGAAGGCTCTCGCACTCCCCTGAACTTCACCCGTTCCATTGTAATTCTGCTTTCTGCAGGGTCCGGAAAAGCTGGAAACAAAGGCTGTGTATGAAAGCTCCATGAAATGATTCTTTGGCTGCAAGAAGAGTGAGCAAAAGCTGTGTCATTCTTAACTTCATTCTATTACAGGAAAGCGGTAATTAATTCACTCTCCAAGACTCAGTTTGGGAGTTTTGGAAAGCAGGCGTTCTTTATGGCAGCGCCGGACACCCAGGGGAGAGCTCCTCCTAATGAGTGCGCGTGAGAACGAAATCAACCGGCGTCTGCACGACCTTAATCCCACACGTTCACCGCCTTCGTGTCATATTCAGAACTTTCCCGGGAACTCTTTTAGCACGAGTTAATGCCTCCTGCGCCCGGCAGCCGGGGCCTTCGGGTGGTCGTCGGGGGTCTCCGGAGGAAGGCTCGTAGTCTTCCTCACCGTGCTCGCCAGCTGACCCTCGCTCCCGCGCAAACTCAGCCCTGTGCTCACGTCCACCTCGTCCTGCCAGGCCGGCCTGCTCTGCTTTGTTGCTAATTTGCAGCTTCTTTACGTTTCTTCGCACCTGCCACCACAAGGCCAAACCGTCTCCCGTAAGGTGATTTATGAGTCCCTCACCCTACAGTTATTCCAACTATTCATCAAAAGATCAGTATTTGTTCTGCAGCACAACTGTTAAATGATTAAAACATCTGAAATTGATCTGAATAATTCTGTTCCACAAATATGTATTTTCCAATAATCTTAGTTTGCAGGTATCAGTTGCACAACGTCAGTTTGGCTAGATTGAACACAACATGACACTGAAAGTGCATGTAAGTGCTTGAGCTTATGGGGAGGCAGAGTTACTGCTCTCCCCTCGCTCAGAATTATTTTACATAAGATAGATCATAGAATCATAAAAATTACCATGTTGGAAGGGACCGCAAAGATCATCTGGTTCAACCTTTCTGGCAAAAGCACAGTCTAGACAAGGTGGCCCAGCTGAATCTTAAAAGTGTCCAAAGTTGGGGAAATCCACCGTTTCCCTGGGGAAATTATTCCAGTGGCTGAGTGCGAAAAATTTTCCTCCGGTATCCAATCATATTCTCCCAGGAGTAACCTGTACCCATTACTCCTTGTCTTTTCCATGCATTTCCTTGTAAAAAGGGAGTCTCCACAACAAGCACTAAGGAGAGGAAAAGGCCATGTCTAAAGCTCTTAAGACCCCAACAGAAACTCGAGGTCTCTCTCACACGGCTATCGCATCGGTCTTCAGAGTAACAGGGGGTTTGGGGATCAGAATAGAAAAGCCTGGGAAGGCAGAAAGCGTTTGAAGAGCATGCTTTGCTTTCTCACTTCCCCTCCTGCTGGATTTCCCTCCAGGGAGAACCCTGGGCAGTGTCCTGGAAGTGCTGGAAGGGAAACTAGCCAACCAGGCGTGCACCAAGATTCCATGTCAACTATTCCTATTGATTGTAAGCGTAGGAGAGAGAGACTTGGTTAAGCTCCCAATCACTCACTGACTTTTTATCAGCCAGTGACCATCTGCTACCACACGCGCCTGAGTGTCTGGGAAGCGTGTAAATGCTCCCCTGGGAAATAGGGTACGTCGTCACAGAGCACTACAGAGAGCTGAGAGTCCAACTAGGCTCCCACTGAAGTGACAATTTGGGAGGAGAAGCTGCTCAGAGCAATTACTGTTGCTAGCACAGGATAGCTGGGAGAGGGAGCTCCATACCACCTCCCAGAAAAACATGCCATAAAACCATCTGGTGTCCAAATAGCAAGGCATGCCTCACTCCAGCAGCATGACAATAACAGAGGTGAGCATGGAGCAAAGGGGGGATGAAGGTGTTGGAGAGCTTAAGGAACGGTGAGGAAGAGGAATAAAATCAGGGAAGGTGGTACTCGTTGGGTTTCATGAAGACTAGGACAAAGTGGTAGCAAATCTCTTTACAGCAAGAAACAGAAACACTGTTATAAAGGATGCCAGCATCATTCAGGCATTAAAAAAAAAAGATTTAAATTTGCTGCAATTTTATGAAGGCTTATTATACGTGCACCCGTTACACGTCAAGGCAGACAAAAGAGCCGAGCCCCTTTGCACTGAACATACAAAGTGTGTGCTGGGGACGTAGGCAAGGTGAGAGGGGACCCAAATGGCTCCTGCGCCCTCCGTGCTCCGGCGTGGCGTGGCCAGCGCGCGGGAGGGAGCTGCTGGGCCACTTGCCCCTCCCGCTGCTCCGCTTCCACCCTTCACTTCTGAGGCACCGGTGCTGCGGAGGGCTTTCTTCCCCTCCTAAGCACCACAGCATTTAGCTAATTCACTGAAGATGCTGGAATAGGCTTTTAGTTGAAGTCAGTTTACCCAGATGAAAATCTGGCTTGCTAACTATACTGCTTTTCTAAATGTGGGTGACTGTTCAAACATCGATACCGGGATTGCACCTCTTCAAAATCAGCCTTAGTGATGTGGCTAGTGATTATGTTTGAAATTATGTCTGAAATGAAATGTGACTAGTTGCAAAGCTCACAGATTTAATTCTGCTAAATAATCCCCCAAAGAGATTGATCAAACACATTTAAAATGTAGAGCTACACAGACAAAGAGGAGTGTTGACACGGAACCACTAACTCTCTAAACATACTCGGCTAGTAACATGAAGTACACACAGCACACTGACAGGTTTACCTGCTGTTTACTGTCATCGGTCATTGTCAAAGCAGTGGGCACTAAGAGGAAGAAAACCATCCTCAGTCTTGTAGTTAAATTTGACAATATTTTCTACTTCTCATATTTATTCCTATGTGCTAATTATGTTCTCATTCAAACCTATTTACTAGCAGGTTTCAGCCTGCTAGTGGCAGTTTGGCCAGTTGCCTAGGTACTGAAGATGACAGAAGAAAAGAAATACCTTTTCACTTCGTTAGTTATAAGTGAAAACATGCTTATCAGGGAACAAATATTCCTTCTTTACCACATTTTCCTAATTCCCATATTTTCTTTCCAAGTTTAGCTCTTACTTCATTTGTACAAACATTAAACCAGTCCTCTGAGAGCCATCAACAAGTAGGTTCAACATGCTGACAGCTGCAAGACATCATTCGTCAAAATAGTTATGTTCAGCAAAGCACTACTGATGTTTCAACTCAATGACCTAAAATTATTGGTTTCTGATAGACACCTCTTGAAAACACAACCATGAATTACCATGTCTAATTTCAACAAAGTATTTCGTAGTTTTGTATGCAAATTAAATATCATTTTTGTTCCACTATGCCTGCAATTAAGCAAAGCATCAGTTATAGTTTGCAGCTGGAAATTATAGTCAATAAGAAAGGGAAAATCTGGAGTTCCAGCACATCAAAATAGAAAAGAGAGGGGAAAAAAAAGGAAGAAAAAGCAACCCCTTATCTTACAGTCTTTCACACCCTGGTCCTCAGCTACCTGGTTATTGAACACAGCCTTCTCTCTCATAGCTTGCTTTCTCATTTTATTCTATTCCATCTTATTTACAGCTTGCAGGTGAAACCCCTCAGCTGTCAGTCCACCCTCCAAAGTCTTCCTCTTGCTTTCTCTCATCTTTCATGTCATGAGCTTCTCATACGTACCCTCAAGGCCCTGTTCAGTTGTGCCCATCTACCCTCTTTCATCTTTTCTTGTTCTGTTACTGTACCAAGAATTCTAGTTTCACTGTATGTCTAGTTTTATCTTCACTATAATAAAATTAGAATATAGCTGTCAATATGCACTTTTAGACTCCCCTACTTTATTTTGAAGTCCAGGAAAATGCTAATATTTAAGTAATACTTAATCAGTGC